TTAGGGTTTAGGGTTTAGGGTTTAGGGTTTAGGGTTTAGGGTTTAGGGTTTAGGGTGTCGGATCGAAAGAGCAACGGCGCACGTAGTGTCCAAGCCCAGTGCTCTACGACATGGCTCTGCACCCGCACATTCTAAACCCTAAACCCTAAACGTGTGTCTGCTGCAGTCTCCGATCCTTGCCGTATCTCTGCGGCCGACACGCTCTATGAGTTGCATGCTATGCAGGAATAATGGCGACCTGCAAGTGGATAGAGGTGTCTTTGAGGCGGCCGTCATCAGGAACGCCATCCTAGAAGTCGAAAGAGTTTGCTTCTCCTGCTGCTACGCCAGTGTAGTGACCCGTGAACCTTTGTCATATGCACGACTGGCACGTGAAGTAAGCTTCGTCAGGATGTAAACCCCTAAACCCTAAACCCTAAACCCTAACCCCTAACCCCCAAACCCTAAACCCTAAACCCTAAACCCTAAACCCTAAACCCTAAACCCTAAACCCTATCAAGCTTAGGCGGTACGTCAAGCCAGCGAAGCTGAGAGTTAGATAGCCCTTCGGGGTAGAACGGCATGACTTGCTCATTAAAATCCAAAATCATGTGTCCATTAGTTGCTCGGGTTTGTTGTACAGCATGGAGTATGTTCCTCATAGCTCAAGATGCCACAAACAGCGGCCCAAACCCTAAACTCTAAACCTTTAAACCCCAAACCCTAAACCCTAAAACCTAAAACCTAAACCCTAAACCCTAAACCCTAAACCCTAAACCCTAAACCCTAAACCCTAAACCCTAAACCCTAAACCCTAAACCCTAAACCCTAAACCCACCTAAGTGTACCCTAAACCCTAAACCCTAAACCCTAAACCCTCTCATGCTGAAGCCACGGCAGGGGAGCCCCCCTCCCCCGAAAACTGATCCGTACCGGTCTCCGAGAGGTGCCGAGGGGCGGAACCCCCGGAGCCCCTGCCGGCGATGCGCGCGGTACGACGCGGAGGATCGGGAAGCTTCGTAAGTAGTTTAGGGTTTAGGGTTTATGGTTTACGGTTTAGGGTTTAGGGTTTAGGGTTTAGGGTTTGGGGTTTGGGGTTTGGGGTTTGGGGTTTGGGGTTCGGGGTTTGGAGTTTGGGGAGTAGAAGGACCCCAAAAATAGGGATCCCTTCCTTCTAGGGCACTTCGAACACCACTTTGCACCCTAAACCCTAGACCCCACTGCCTACGACCTGCTTGCTTCATCCTCACTCAACCCCAAACCCTAAACCCTAAACCCTAAACCCTAAACCCTAAACGGTAAACCCTAAACCCTAAACCCCAAATCCTACTACCTGCCTACTACCTACTTTCCAACCCCCCCGGATCCTGCACGTTCGTGAGCCTCGGCTGCAGGTTGAAACCCTTACCCTAAACCCTAAACCCTAAACCCGAAGCTCTAAACCCTAAACCCTAAGCCCTAAATCCTGGAACCCTGAACCCTGAACCCTGAACCCTGAACCCTGAACCCTGAACCCTGGTTACGGGATTTGGATCGTAGGGGCCCTTGGCTGCGCCCGGGGGCTTTAGGGGCATCAGGGTTTAGGGGGGGGGGGGGGGTCAGGGAGGGTTAAGGGCATTGGGTTAGGCTTTAGGGCTTTTTGGTTTAAGGCGTAGGGTTTTTGTGGGTTTTGGACTTTGGTGGTTTTGGGGGGGGGGGGGGTTTGCGGCAGTGGGCCTTTGAGGTTTTGGGGTTTTGGGGTGTTGGGGGTTAGGGGGTAGAGGGTTTCGGGATTGATGCTAGCTCCGAAACCCTGAACCTTCAGCCCTGCCGCAAAAGCTGAACGAGGCCCACACAAAGAGGCGGAAGTCAGATGGCTCAAGTCTGGGGCACCCTACACCCCTAAACCCCTAAACCCCTAAACTCGTAAATCCCTAAACCCCTAAACTCGTAAATCCCTAAACCCCTAAACTCCCAAAACCACAAACCCCAAACCCCAAACCCTAAACCCCAAACCCTAAACCCTAAACCCTAAACCCTAAACCCTACTGGCACCCCCCAGTCGCGACGTGTATTTGGGCCACCTGACCGCTATACCAGGAGGCAGCTGCCACCGAAAACGCGGCGGCAGCTATCTCCCATAAAATCCCTAGGCCTACACTCAAGTCTGGTCCCCAGGGTTTGAACCATGCGGACTTTAGGGTTTAGGGTTCAGGGTTTAGGGCTTCGGGTTTAAGGTTTAGGGTTTAGGGGTTAGGGTTTAAGGTTTAGGGTGTAGGGTTTAGGGTTTAGGGTTCAGGGTTCAGGGTTCAGGGTTAGGGTTTACTATGTCAAATTTGAAACCTTTTTAGGCGTTAGGATTTTGAGGCTTTAGGGCGTTCAAACCCTTCGATCCAAACGGCTGTTGCTGCCCTGGCCGTGGATGGCATGACACTGCGCCGCACGCAGGTAGTCTTCTGGGGTGGGAGTGCTGCTGGATGCCTTTAAGGTTTGGGGTTTAGGGTTTAGGGGTTTAGTTTAGGGTTTAGGGTTTAGGGTTTTGGGTTTTGGGTTTAGATTGTAGCATTTATGTTTGCATGCCGCCTCAAAATCAGGCATTAGGATTTAGAGCCCCCTTAAAGCCTAAACCCTCAACCCTAATCCCTAAACCCTAAACCCTAAACCCTAATCCCTAGTCCCTAGTCCCTAAACCCTAAACCCTAGACGCTAAACCCTAGTCCCTAAACCCTAAACCCTAAACCTTCCCACCCCCGAGGAAAAAAGGGAGACCGGCGTCAGCTTGTGCTGAGCTTGGCATCGAAAGCGCGGCCTCCTCAGGGAGGTGGCTGGAGGTCTCCAGGGTTTAGGGTTTAGGGTTTAGGGTTTCGGGTTTAGGGATTAGGGATTTGGGTTTTGCGTTTTGGGTTTGGGTTTAGGGTTTAGGGTGTAAGGTTTAGGGTTTAGGGTTTAGAGTTTAGGGTTTAGGGTCTAGGGGGTCTAGGGGGTCTAGGGGGTCTAGGGGGTCTAGGGAATCTAGGGGGTCTAGGGGGTTTAGGGGGTTTAGGGGGTCTAGGGGGTTTAGGGGGTTTAGGGGGTTTAGGGGGTTTAGGGGGTTTAGGGGGTTTAGGGGGTTTAGTTTGTTTTAGGGGTTTAGGGGGGTTTAGGGGGTAGGGGGTTTAGGGGGTTTAGGGGGTTTAGGGGGTTTAGGGGGTTTAGGGGGTTTAGGGGGTTTAGGGGGTTTAGGGGGTTTAGGGGGTTAGGGGGGTTTAGGGGTAGGGGGTTTTAGGGGGTTTAGGGGGTTTAGGGGGTTTAGGGGGTTTAGGGGGTTAGGGGTTTAGGGGGTTTAGGGGGTTTAGGGGGGTTTAGGGGGGTTTAGGGGGTTTCAGGGGGTTTAGGGGGTTTAGGGGGGTTTAGGGGGTTTCGGGGGTTTCGGTTTCGGGGGTTTAGGGGTTTAGGGGTTTACGGTTTAGGGTTTAGGGTTACATTGGCAGATCACCTCTGACCCACTTGCCCTTCTTCTGCGCCAACTTCTTGACAACCCTGTTTTGGTGATGTGCTTCAGCAATCGAATCAGCTTGGATAACATGCCGAGGCCCTTCCAGGATCCCCTGAAATGAAAGCACTTGGCATGAGTGGCTCCAAAACATACAGAAGGAAACCGAGCCGCCAACAAATTCTCCACGGCGCCAAGATAGGCCAATGGAAACTGCCAGAACAGGGAGCCGGCAAGGAGCGGAAGGACAATCTCGACAAGAGTGCGGGCAGTGGCGTTTCCCGTCACGGCTGCTTTGCAAAAGGGATGACCACAAAATTCCAACCACTACTTGTGAGGGCTGAGGACCTGGCCAGGGTTTAGGGTTTAGGGTTTAGGGTTTAGGGTTTAGGGTTTAGGGTTTAGGGTTTAGGGTTTAGGGTTTAGGGTTTAGGGTTTAGGGTTTAGGGTTTAGGGTTTAGGGTTTAGGGTTTAGGGTTTAGGGTTTAGGGTTTAGGGTTTAGGGTTCAGGGTTCAGGGTTCAGGGTTTAGGGTTTAGGGTTTAGGGTGTAGGGTTGAGGGTCTAGGGTCTAGAGTCTAGGGTCTAGGGCCTAGGGTCTAGGGTTTAGGGTTTAGGGTTGGGGTTGAGGGTTCAGGGTTTAGGGTTTAGGTTTAGAGTTTCGGGTTTAGAGGTCCAAAAGGCAGAGGGGGATAGGGCTAGTTTTGAGTACAGTACCATAAGCCGGAAACGCTAGAAAAAAAAAAACACACACGTAACTCCCTAAACTCACTGCTAGGTGAATGATGGGGAAGAACAACGCCGCCTGAAAGGGTCTAGGGTGTAGTGTTTAGGGTTTAGGGTTTAGGGTTTCGGGTTTAGGGCTTAGGGTCTAGGGTCTAGGGTTTAGGGCTTAGGGCTTAGGGCTTAGGGCTTAGGGCTTAGGGCTTAGGGCTTAGGGCTTAGGGCTTAGGGCTTAGGGTTTAATATGCGGTGGGAATTATACAATTCGGCGGGCCAGGGGATCCCGGTCCAAGACTGCTTTCCATGACGGGAGGCTTTCGGTTTGATATGTCTAAACAAAGCTATAGGTTTAGGGTTTAGGGTTTAGGGTTTAGGGTTTAGGGTTTAGGGTTTAGGGTTTAGGGTTTAGGGTTTAGGGTTTAGGGTTTAGGGTCTAGGGTCTAGGGTTTAGGGTTTAGGGTTTAGGGTTCAGGGTTCAGGGTTCAGGGTTCAGGGTTTAGGGTTTAGGGTATAAGGGGGTCCGGTGAAAAGATAAATGAGGTGACATATCTTAAATTTGGTTGGCCAGAAGTCTAAAACTTTACTGCAGGTTGCTTAAGGTTTCCATTGCACAGAAGTTTGTTCATCCGACCAAAACAAAGTCTGCCGGTGGGGGTTGTATAAATGTAACGTTGACATTAGGGGTTTAGGGTTTAGGGTTTAGGGTTTAGGGTTTAGGGTTTAGGGTTTAGGGTTTAGGGTTTAGGGTTTAGGGTTTAGGGTTTAGGGTTTAGGGTTTAGGGTTTAGAAACTCCCCTCCCCACCCTCCGAGGGCCTTTGTTGTGGGTGGCGACAATTCCATGGTGTGGGTCAAGCGCCGAGCTGGCGAAGCCTCTGGAGGATTCCGGGGGTCTTCCTGAGGCCCTAAACCCTGAAACCCAAACCCTAAACCCTAAACCCTACACCCTAAACCCTAAACCCTACATCCTGTTCAGGTTTGAGGGTGTTTGGCTTGGGACGTACTCTCAGCCCGAAGCTCGTGAACCTAGATGCCCTCAAAAGTGGGGAGCACCCAGAAACCCTACACCCCTAAACCCGAAACCCCTAAACCCCAAACCCCAAACCCCAAACCCTAAACCCTAAACCCCAAACCCTAAACCCTAAACCCCAAACCTAAAACCCTTAACCCTAAACCCTAAACATCAGCCTTCCTTGGGCCGCCCGGCAGGCCCAAGAGCAGCTCGCAGCGGTTCTGCAGGAGGAGGACCTAGGCATTGAGGGGGTTTAGGGTTTAGGGTTTAGGGTTTAGGGTTTAGGGTTTAGGGTGTAGGGTTTAAGGTTTAGGGTTTAGGGTTTAGGGTCTAGGGTCTAGGGTCTAGGGTCTAGGGTTTAGGGTCTAGTCTAGGTTTAGGGCTTCATGGGTTTAGGGGTTGAGGGATTTAGGGTTTAGGTTTTTTTGGCTTCTACGGTTTTAGGGTTTAGGGTGTAGGGGTTTAGGGTTTAGGGTGTAGGGGTTTAGGGTTTAGGGCAAGGTTCATGGGTTTAGGGTTCATAGGTCCTAGACCCCTAAACCCCTAAACCCTAAACCCTAAACCCTAAACCCCTATATAAACCCCTAAACCCCCAAACCTAAGGGAGGAGAGCCGGGGCTGCCACGTCCTTGTCGACTTCGCCTTCGCGTCCTGCAGGGCAGGGGGGGGGGGGGAGATTTCCTGCTTAGGGTCTACAGGGTCCATAGGTCTATAGTTCTTTGGATTCCGCGTGGACCTTTCTTTTTTATGAATAGGAGGTGGGATTAGGGGGGCCCTTGGGGACATGGACCCTCTCGTCCCTTTGTTAATGGCACCAGGAGAAAGTTGAGAAGAGGTCCCTTGGAAGGGTCTCCATAAACCCACCTAGGAATCAGCACATAAGCAAGGTCCGCCCATGAACCTCTAAACCCTAATCCCTAAACCCTGAAGCTCCCTGACTTGGGCTTGCTTTCTTGGACTCCTCTTATAATACGGAGCCGCAGGGCTTAGGGTTTAGGGTTTAGGGTTTAGGGTTAGGGTTTAGGGTTTAGGGTTTAGGGCTTAGGGCTTAGGGCTTTAGGGCTTAGGGCTTATGGCTTAGGGTTTAGGGTTTAGGGCTTAGGGCTTAGGGGTTAGGATTTAGGGATTAGGGGCTTGGGCGTTATCTGCTCTTTTCTGCACGGCCGGGGCATCTGCGCGGAACAGGTCGGATGGTCGATGCGCTTTTGCGGCGGCGCCGTCGTCTGCTGACTTATGAGCAGCGGGCCGTCGGACAGGGTTAAAGGGTGGGGCTCAGGGTTTTGGGAGGAGAGGGGGGGGCATTGGTCATGGGATCCCTAAACCCTAAACCCACCTCGAAACCCTAACCTCTAAACCCCTAAACCTCCAAACTAGTACAAAGCTTGGGGGGGTCCGCCTGGGTGCCGCGAGTATGTTATGGCTTCGGGTTGTCCCAAAGCAACACGCAGCTGCAGCCCCAAATCATACTTTAGGGTTTAGGGTTTAGGGTTTCAGGTTTAGGGTTTGGGGTTTAGGGTTTAGGGTTTGGGGCTCAGGGCTTGGGGGCTCCTACAGCCCCCAGCTGCTGCGCCCTAGGCACTGGTGTTGTACACGTTGCAGCCGAGGCATTTCACGGTGGCGTCGTCCCAAAGGTGGCCGGTCACCTCGGTTTAGGGTTTAGGGTTTAGGGTTAGGGTTTAGGGTTTAGGGTTTAGGGTTTAGGGTTTAGGGTTTAGGGTTTAGGGTTTAGCGTTTAGGGTTTAGGGCTTAGGGCTTAGGGCTTAGGGCTTAGGGCTTAGGGCTTAGGGCTTAGGGCTTAGGGCTTAGGGGGTTTCATGTGGGTAAGGGTTGAAGGGTTTCTGAGAGATTTTAAGAGGGTTGAGAATTTTGTGGGTCTAAGGGCCTGATTGCTGACTCATGCATGGGGTTGTAGAGGTGGGTTTGGAGGGTTTCGGGGGTGAGAGGGTTTAGAGGGCTTCGAGGGTTTAGAGAGTTTAGGAGGGTTTAGAGGGTTTAGAGCCTCTCAGAGTATTTACATGGTCCGTTAGTATGGGCCCTTGAATGGGCACCCCTTATATACCCCCACTTTAAGCGAGGTAAGGGACGACATAAGGGCCCACAAAACTACCACCCTTAGACAGAGGGTTTCGGGGGGTGTCGGGTTTAGGCTGGGGGGTTGGGAGCCCTAAGCCTTAAACCCTAAACACTCAACCGGCTATATAACCCGTAAACCAAGCCCCATACAGCCGGGAAATACCCGAAACCCGAAACCCTATGCCCTAAGCCCTAAACCCCAAGCCCGAAGCCCTGTAAGCTCTGTTTTGGGTTCAGGGGTTTGGGGCTTACAGCTTAGGTTAGGGACCACAACACGTCCTCAAGCCCCCGAAGCCTGGTTTGAGGGTTGAGAGGTTTCGGGCCTCTTGGGTCGGCGGCCTGAGCCGGAGGCTCCTAAATTTAGGGTTTAGGGTTTAGGGTTTAAGGTTTAGGGTTTAGGGTTTAGGGTTTAGGGTTTAGGGTTTAGGGTTTAGGGTTTAGGGTTTAGGGTTTAGGGTTTAGGGTTTAGGGGTTAGGGTTTAGGTTAGGGTTTAGGGTTTAGGGTGTAGGGTTTAGGGTTTTTAGGGTTAGGGTTTATGGTTTTAGGGTTTAGGTTTAGGGTTTCGGGGTACCCATAAAACAACCCCAAAAAAATGCTCCCTCCCCTTCCCCCCTTCTTAACTTTTTTGACCCCTGAATTACACCAAAATAGCTTGCCCGCGGCGGATCCAGTGCTGCAGTCATTCCAGGGCACCCTGCCAACAGCGGCACGGGTTCAGGGCGGGAGTTGGGGGGCGGGGGGGGGTTCCCCGCGCTCATTCACCGGCTTGGGTTGGGTTTTTGTGACCTTTGGCCGGTTTTTTGCTGGGGGGGGGGCACGTGTCAGCGTTGGGTTGGGGTGCCTCGCAGGGGGGGGGGGGGGGGCAGGGGGGGGGGGGGGGGAGGGGGGGGGGGGGGGCCCCACAGCGGGGGGGGGGGGGGGCAGGGGGGGGGGGGGGCAGAGGGGGGGGGGGGGGGCAGGGGGGCAGGGGGGGGGGGGGGGGGCTCGAGCGCTTACACTGTTGCGGTGTCTTTTTGTTTTTGGTTTTTGTTTTTGGGGAGCGGGGGGTGGGGGGGGGCGGGGGGTAGAGGGCAGAGGGCTTCGAGGTTGCGCTTAGGGTTTGGTTGTCAGGGTTTAGGGTTTGGGGTTTGGGGTTTAGGGTTTAGGGTTTAGGGTTTAGGGTTTAGGGTTTAGGGTTTCGGGTTTGGGGTTTAGGGTGTTGGGCTTAGGGTTTCGGGTTTAGCCATAAGGTGCGTGAAGCTTCGGATCCCTATATTGCCCCTACCCAAACCCTTCATGAAGCGTGGGTTTGCCCATCATGGTTTCGGGTTTAGGATTTCGAGCTTCGAGCTTAGGGTTTAGGGCTAAACTTTAGGGTTTAGGGTTTAGGGTATAGGGTTTAGGGTTTAGGGTTTAGGGTTTAGGGTTAGGGTTTAGGGTTTAGGGTTTAGGGTTCAGGGTTCAGGGTTCAGGGTTCAGGGTTCAGGGTTCAGGGTTTAGGATTCCTGAACCTGAAGGCCTACACCTTCCGCCCTACCCAACCCTCCCCGCGCCGAGGTGAGTTCGAACGGCCCGGAGGTGCCGCAGCTGGTGCTGGTCAAGCTTTTCCTTCACTTCTTGGAACGGATGGGGATTTTAGGGTCTAGAGTTTAGAGTTTAGGGCTTAGGGTTTAGGATTCACGAACATACGGGACCCCAAATACGGACCCACAAATAGTAGCATTCTCTTATCATAGGGTCCATGTGGTGTTTAGGGTTTGGATGTAGGGTTTACTGTTTTGGGGCTTGTGGCACTGAAGTAGGGAATTTATTTCTAGTATTTCTAGAAGGACACCCCGTACATACACTCACCAATATTGATAAGGATCCTGGAAACACTATCCACTACGGGTCTGGGGTTGTTTAGGGCTGAGGCATAAGGCCCAGGATATCGGTATAGGGCTCATAGGGGAGGGAGGGAGTGAGAGCGGGAGAGAGGGAGAGAGACAGAGAGAGAGGGCTTAAGGTTTGGAGCTGAGGGTGTAGGGCTTAGGGCCCTTAGGGGTTAAAACTTGCAGGCTTTTCTGGCTTACGGCTTTGAGGGCGTCGGCTAGGATTTGGAGTTTAGGGCTTAGGGTGTAAAGCTTAGGGTGTATTCTTTGGAATACTTGATGCTTTCAATAGTTCATCGTTCTGGCTCTAGCCCCACTTTCTGACGGCTGAATGCCCTTGCCCAAAAAAAGGTTAACCTTTTCATTCCACTTGGATTCTATATAACCAGAAAGGTTGAAGGTTAACTACCCAGCCCAGAGTATTTTGCTGAGTTAAGCATTTTTAAGACATCATCGACCTAGACGTTCATTGAACATCGTTAATATTTTTGTACTGATTGTTGTTATTATTGTTAGATTGCGTCGGCCAGGTTCTTTAAAGTTTTGAGCCCTCTCACTCTTCGTGGAGGGTTAAAGTTTAGGGTTTAGGGTTTAGGGTGTAGGGTTTAGGGTTTAGGGTTTCGGGTTTAGCGTTTAGGGTTTTAGGCTTTAGAGGTTGCTTGAAAGGCGGCGAGAG